CAGTTGTCATTGGATGAGGGCATGATTCCATGGAGAGGACGTCTAAGATTCTGAACATACAACCCTGCAACAATTGTGAAATATGACATGTTGATGAAAAAGATTTTGTAAGAGTGACACATGTTATATTTACAACATGGAGATTTATACTTGTGAGGGGGGGGAATTGGAGGAAAGTATTCTTTCAGTTCTTGCTCCCATTCTTGGATTGTGGCACCACATTTACCAGGACAATTATTACAACAGTACTTCTATTGCAAACTTGTTCCTAAAACATAAAACAAGAGTCTGTAGAACAATCAGAGTGAATAGAGGGTTGCCGCCAAGCCCAAAGGCTGAAGTTTCAACAATGAAAAAAAAGGTGAAACAGCTTTCCGTAGAAAAGGTGATGTTTTCGTTTTCATATGGAAAGATAAGAGAGAGGAAAATAACATGAGAAGAAGAAAAAATCCTGTGTGTGTTCTCCAATACAGTGCCCACATGAAAGGTACTGAGTGTGCTAATCAGGACCTCTCATACTGTACCATTCTCAGAAAACAGTGAAATGGACAAAAAAGGTAGTATTTTATCTAATAAATTGTGGCTTTTTCAATTCATATATAATCTACAAAGCCCTGAATCAACAGAAAAAATTACATATAAGCAGTTCCTGCTCTCTTTGGCAAAAGAATGGATTACTGACGACAAAGAGAAAGAAGGCTCACTGGAACTAGAGAGGAATGAATTCGGTCCATCATCTGAAGGTACAAGGAGAGTCCCACATAAGGATCCCCCAGGAAAACTGTGTGGTGACATGAAGCAGCATATTCCTGTGTTCATTTCTTCTACAGAAAAAAATAAATTTCCTACCAGAGCCTGCAGAGTTTGTACTGCCCATGGGAAGAGAAGTGAAATGCGATACATATGCAAGTTTTGTTCGGTTTCACTCCATATAAGAAAATGTTTTACAACATACCACACTTTAAAAATAAAATTAAATGTGTCAGACTCCTTTCAAACTCAACATTTTATTAAATGGCACATGGAGATGCTCTGCACGAAACACGAGTAAGTATGTAACCTGTCCCCAATGTGTTGCAGTTTTGTCCTCGCTAGTATTTTGAGTTATTTCTCACCTTGATACATATTAGTTTGATAGAAAGTTATATTGTATTTAGGGTTTACTTTCATATTTTAGTTAATTATGTATTATTTATGTTTTAAAATTCATATTTGAAACATTTAATGAGGCTTACATTACTAAGCAAGTCCAAAACATTTTGCTGAAGGTTACACTATCTCTGGTGCTGATACCATTATATCGCCAGGGGGCACATGTTGACATATGTTGAGATTAATAATAAATGGTAATTGACAGGAAAGGAAAATAAAACATTAAAAATATGCTATAAATGAAAAGGTAAAGGCATAAACACTTCAAACATAATTAACAGCATTTCTAGTTTAAGTTCTTCATCAGTTACTGCCTAAAAATCAATAATAAAGAGAGAGATATTGTGACTAGATATTGACACTTAAGCATTTTCTTGGAAGTCATACTGGTGATGCAATAGAGAAAATGTTATGAGATCTAATGAATTTATGTGAAATCAAAAGGGAAAATATTCACCTCATGATAAGAGATAATGAACCAAATATTGTGAAAGGTTCTAATGATTTTGAATCATGTTTTCTCCATATATTACAACTTGCGATAATGAATACTCTGGAATTCCAGCAAATTGTATTTAATCTCATAACAGTCAGTTAGAGATTGTTACACATTTTTACCACTATAGCATGTTCAGAATTAAAGGCTATACTAAATGATTTATATATGCCTCTAAATAAACTTGCCTGAGGTGTAAAGACAAGGTGGAATTCAACATATGATATCTTTAAAAGCTTTTCAAACAAAAGAGAGCAGTATTCCTCTATGCTGATGACAACATTACCGATTACCACAAAAGTGATTGAGTCTTATCAGAGGTATGTTTAAAATTGCTTACAGCAAGGCTTTAACAAGTACAATGTTTGAGTACATGTAAATTTTATAACATTGTAAGTGCTAGAAATCATTGTTTTTCTGTATATATTTTTTATTTATTGTTCTATATTTCAAGAAAAATAACTAAAGATTTGAGTAAATAGTAATAACATATATATGTCCATAAGCACTTACACACGTTGTACACCTGTACCACTAAATTCCAACCACTTTTGGAAGATAACTAATATTCAAATACCTACCAAGTTTATTGGATCGGCCCGGACTTTGTACAGAGCCATATCATAGACATTTGCTTGTACTTTTATTACTTTATACAATTCTCATCGCAACTACTGTACTGAAAACAAGCTGATAAATCCTCTCCCACTGTGTTCTAGGAGCTGGGATTACAATAAACTGTGTAGGAAAGTTCTGGTAATTGTGCCACACAAGCTTATTTGGTATTTATGATGTCATATTACTGTGTCATGTAAACAGACTAATGCCAGGAGCAATGATTCATTGTTTTACATTCAGTAGGTTTATACTTTAGCTGCTAACAGTAAAATAAACATAGGAAATGGATGTGAAAAGATAAGTAGAAACTCTCAGGGGAAGTACTTTGGAACTTCATGATCATACAGGACTTTATTTTAGATTTCCAACTTTTGAATTTTTGTAGTGGTTACAAATTTGCCAACCCCATAAAGAGTTAGGGTATAGAAAATAACAGATGGAATTAAACTTTCTCTGAAAAAAAAACATTTGATATTTGTTTAGAGGGTTTTAGAAATTATGAAACTGAAATTTGAAAATTTTCAGATGAAGAGAAGTATTTTTGATATTAACATAAAAATCACTTTGCACTCAGAATGATCAAAACTCTAACTCCATATATTCAAAGTCAAATTTTTAGTTATAATACCTAATTATAAATTCTAATTTTTGTCTACACATGTCTTCTAATGTTTACTGAAAGCTTGAAAAATTACATGTGAAAAACATGTTAAAAGTTGTTAATAGTTATAGTATGGAAACTGATGGTCACTTTGGGGTCATGTGATCAGTGTAATTCACAAAGGCAATAGCAAAAAGAGTTAAAAGGGTATTTATTTGAGACAAATAGAACCATGCAGTGAAACAAAGTTTAATGAAGAAAGTGTTGGCACTGACAACCAAACATGGGTAATGGCAGAGACAGTGGAAGTGATATAAATGACATTTCACCATTAGCACTACCACATGTTAAAAGTTTATGGCAGAAAACTGTGACTCATTATAGAATTTCTATGGTGAAATATATACAGCCACCTATGGCATTAATAATGTTAGTCAAACAGGCCATCACATTTGATACCACAACCTAGTATGTTATAGGGGTAGAAAATGTACAAAGATACTGCCTCAGATAACATAAAGATTCTTATGAGCCACAGCCAGCAGTGTTTCTAGTGAATACCTGTTCTCTGAAGCTGGCAAAATTTACAAATTTAAAGCAAAGAGAAACCAGATACTTTCACAATATGCAGAGTGACTACCAAACAAGGATCTCTGAATGAAAAATCCAAATGAGAAAAAGAACATTGCAGTATGCCTTCAACAATAAATGATAAGTTTAATATGATGTACTGATATGAGTTTAGTCTCAGAAGATTGCAAAAAAATACTTAGTTTTACAAAATAGTTTTTCTGACAACTGATTAAAAACTGTTTATTAATAAGAAAATAATATCTTATGTTAAACTTAAGATGAATATTAAGTTCCATAAAAACCTAGGGTTGCTTGTGACTCATAATTTAGTAAAACCCTGGTTAAAGTAATGCAATTTAACTGATAAAAATTAGGGTTATTTCTTAGAAAACGAGATCTTGTGCTTTGAAAACTATCAATATTTAATGAATTTATGCTTACAGAGACAAAATATACATTACTGATATTAACCGAGTTGTTTGATAATTTTTGTAGCTATTACTAAAAATAATCTAACTTATTAGTGTTATTACAATTCTACATTAATAAAGCTATTAGTTAATTTTCCTTCAGTGTGTTGGTTTATTAATTATATCTTCCTAGTACCAGTTGTAGGTTTTGTGTTTTACTTGTTCATGGTAGGTGATAGGAAAATTATAACTATTTCAGTGTTGAATAGGTACTAACATCCAGCCAAACCAAATGACTGAACAAGGTGGATACAAAATACTAACCAAATGTCTGTTGCATCCCTACTTTTAAAGAATGTTTTGGGCACTGTGTTGACATGTTGAATAGTTCCATGTGGGCTGCACCTGTCTTCCATCAAGTTTTACAGATGACATTTCTTTGCAGAGTTCTTCATCATATCTGAAACTGATCAATATTCTGTAACTAGTTGAAACGTAGTTTTTTGTTGTTTTTTTACCGTTAACACGTGGGTTACACATATACTCTTAAAAACGACATTTTAAGTTGATTATGATGCTGTTTTACAGTTAAACTGAATTAACACAGTTATAATTGGTTTACATTGTTAGGCGTTCATACAGCAGATACAGTCCATCAAGGAAAGATGTACATTAATACATACAGATGAAGAAATGCATAGTAACATATAATTTAAGAGATGCATAAGTTGACCTAAAGTAATATCATGCGTATATAGAGATGGAATTTAATGCTTCTGAAATTTTTTGGTTGATGAAAAGCTTATTTCCACATAATAAATTATTTTATATTTCATGATGCACAGAAATAATTTATGTTTTGTGTAGTTTAAAATTTGTTTGAAAAAATTTACACTTTCGTTAGACTTCTGTGACCATCAATGGTTAATAATGTAATCACTCAGTACTCTGCCAATTATAAGCAAACTCTCAAAAAAGATATCCTTTTATGCTATAGTTAAAAAAACTCATCTGACATGTATGTGCTTTTTTATTTTATTGAAATAGAAATAACATGCTCTTAGTTCACGTAAAAACACACAATGTTTTGCTAGTTAAATTTAAAAAATATATATAAAAAATCAGCTGTAATAACTAGAAGGTGATCTTTACAACAGATGGAGAATGAAAAATAGCTATTCCAATATGATAACATATACAGGAGAATATCTTCTTCAGGTAATTGTTGTATTAATTTTTCTTTCTTTCTTTTATATATTATTATGTAGGATTTTTTATTCCTGGCTTCCCCAAACTTCAACGATTCCAGAAACATCATGATAACATACTAACAAAATTTCTTCCAAAACTAAAGAAGCACTTAGACAAGTATGAAATACATTCAAGTCTCTATACACTGAAGTGGTTTTTTCAGTGTTTTTTAGACAGGGTATGGAAGATTTTTATTGTGATTTTTAAAGTAGTATAACATACAATGATATGTAAATTTTGTCAGTTTTTGCTTTCCCCATATCTTCTGTTTAAAGTCAATTGTATATGATTTTTTTTTGCATATTATAAAAAAAACTTTGTTACCACTTTGTACCGAATATTACATCTATAGGCTTTTGTGATAAAAAATAAGAATTAATATACTTGTTTTTTTTATTAAAACAGAATAATTTATTGAAATTAGTGTAGTGATCAGTGGTATTTTTAAAATCATAAGTATGTTTATGTATTTAATTGAATACAAATATTCCTTGTGCCTCATTTAAATATAGTTTAGAAAAAATCTACATGTTGCCTTTACCCTATGTCATTAAATTGTGGCTATTTAACCAAACTGTCTTTTATGTATACTTCTTTAGCTTAGCATCTGGGCAAGTAGCTTTAGATTTACGCTTGATTCATTTTGATTTGTTTTTTACATATGTGTATTTTACGAATATTAACTATTCATTTCAGGTTCCCTTTACATTAACTCTTCGACTGTGGGACATCTATATCCTAGAAGGGGAAACTATTCTTACTGCCATGTCTTATACTCTGCTTAGACTCCATAGAAGTAAGTTTACTTTAGCAATAAATTCCAGCTGGCTTTTGTTAATAAGAATTAGCTTGAAGAGTAAAAGATCTATAAATGTACAGTTTTGTCTGGTTTATTGTAGTGTGGCCATCAATATGGAAAAGATGTGGAAATTGAAAAGGGGTGTGGAATGAAAAATCCAGGGAAAATTGGAAAGTTATACAAAACCTGCAATTTTTTTTTTTATATAGCTTGGTTGGGGATGCTTCCTTTATTTTCATTTTCTATTTGAGAATGCTGCTTATCTATACCAGCTATTGGTATATTTAACAATCTTGATAGTTTCTATTTGGTCTTGTGATAATTATTTATTTAATTAAATTTGATAATAGAATAGGTAAATTGTTTTTTTTATAAATAAAAATTAAACTGTTTTTCTTTTTCTGCAGTAATCTAAAGTATGTATGTAGTGAAGTTATATTGTCCTTTTTAACAAGATTGCAAGTTCAAGTGGTGGTAAGTAGGTAGGATTCTAGAAATGTTTGAAAAATCAGTGTCATGTGTGTTCATGGGCAGATCAATCTGGAATATCTAGAAATATAACTGGGGGAGGAGGGTATAGAAAAATCTAGAATTTTTCCTGAAAACTTTTGGGGAAAATGTAACTACATCATAGAATACCTAACATCAGTCATGTTGATGGCTACACTTACATGTTTTAAGATTTATTTGTATGAAACTGCTGTTACATATGTTTATTTCTTCATGTATATCATCTTTCCTTTACCTGTTAGAACCATTATTAAAGATGGGAATGGAAGATACAATAGAGTTTTTGCAAGTGAAATTAGAGCAAGATTTTGGATACCATGATGATGCAGCAGTAGATGCTCTTTCAGCATCCCTGGAAGAACTACGTAAGCACAAGATGCACCTTCCGGAACACCCATCTGTACACGAACTTCCACGACTACCCTTTGGCTTATTGGCTGAAACACCTGTGGACCAACAGCTTGGTTTAAGAAGCGAAGAAAGTGAAGACATGGTATATCTTTTTTACTCCTAATAGTCTTTTTGCAGTCAGTAAAAATTATCCATTTTGTGTGTATAAGATATTGTCTTGTAATATGAATTATGTTCAAGTTTGTTTTGCTAGCATTCTAAATCAGTTTAGGAAGGCATTGGTAAATTAAATATTAATGTCTTTTCTGATGAATTTGTTATTTCTTTCTAATTATAAGAATTTGTGAGTGAAAATGAAGAATATATGATGTCAACCGCACTATATCTGCAATATCCAGTGCCAACAAGGTCTTTCATTCAATACCAAGCCTCATCAGCTGGGATGCAATAGGTGTAGTGACAGAGGCACTATTTATATCATCAATTGCCTGAAAAACGACTGTTTTGGTGTAAACTTGATTAAAATAATGACATGTAACTTTTTCTTTTTTTTCCTGAAAACTACATTAGTAATTATAAGTGAAAGTAAAGAACAATGTAATTATATGGCAACCCTGCCACATCTGCTATATCTAGTGCCAACAAGGCCTTTCATCCAATATCAGAGATTATCATGTTGACTGAGATACAACATAGTGGTCAAATGATCAATTACTTGAACAACAGTTGTTTTGGTTTGATCTAGACTTAGTTGGTGAACTGTATTTTTTATAAATAAATCAGATTGAGGTTTATAGTTTTTATTAAAGTCAAATGATGTGTTTATTTTAACACCAAGAACCCCACCACCCAATGTTGTAGTATTTAAACTTGCTTGTATATATGCATTATCTTCTGAGTGTAATATATATAATTTTTTTAAATACATTCTCAATTTAATTTCAAGCAACAACAAAGTCTTTATTTTTTTTTATTATTTACTGTTGCATAGTGAAAAACATTTGTTGAATCTTTCATTGCATAGTCAAGATTATTTTAAATGTAATTTTTTCTGTGTGTGTGTGTGTGTGTGTGTATTCAGACACTGTTACTTTATACAGGTCATAATCAATGGTGGTCAGTCACCTGTCTGGAAGAAGAAGGAGCTGGTAAATAGTAATGAGTATACTTCAGACAGTGGTCTTCAGAGACAATCAAGGAACTCTGACAACCTTGATAATGATGATGCTAGTTCTCTTATTGACCCTCTGAGTTCAAGAAATTCTTTTGCAGAAACATCACAGACATCTGTAGCAGATTTATCTGCTGTTTCTGGTTTCTCTAGCCCTAACACCACTCTGACTCGTCAGCATGGACGAGGTAGCAACACCTCTCCTCACAGGACCCATTTTAACCTTGATCACCTCCAGCGCACCCTTTCACTCTATGACAATGTAGACTATACAGAAAGTGTTATGGCTGCCATCCAGCAGTCCCCACCTAGATCGAGGGCTCAGTCACCAGATACTGTGAGGATTTTTGTGCCCTTTGAGCAGACTGATACTCAACAGGACACTTCTTCTCATCAGATTTTTTCTCACAGTCATTCAGCCTCACCTTCTAATGGTGATGTCACCCCCACTAATCAGGATCCTAATAAAATAACCATTCATGTTGGAATGTATGATATGATGTCTGGCTTTCCACAAGTTACATGATGCAAACTGTACAACCAGTGAAACAGTTTGAAGTTAATTAACATTCCACTAACTTAAAGATCACTCTCATCAGTATTAACTTACAGTGACAACCTAAATTGCAAGACTGTCAATTTAAGGAAAATTTTTATGTCAGTGAACATTATTTCAGATTAGCAATAACCTGTCATCTGAAGTAATAACTTATAACTTCTTTGAATTTTTATGGTTTTTTGTATAAATACGGCTATAGCTATTTCCTTTATTTTCAGTCCAAAGTGGACATTGTGTATATTTTGTACATGTAAAAAAAAACTAATTTGAAATCGCCCAAAATATGATTTATAATCCTGTGCAGGAAATGCTCAGAAGCCCATACTCAATTTCTCTCTCTATTCCCCACCCCCTCAACAAAGGGAGTTGAAACAAAAAAATATCTAAGAATGTTTCTTTTTCTGCAAGAGCTGTCTGCAAATGAAGTGACAACAGATATTGTTTACACTGAATACATGTAACTAACCACTCAGTGTGTAATTAATCCATAATATTTTGTAAATCATTGAGACTAATGTTTTTCAAACTTTATATGTATGTTTTATATACAGAATTATATGACTGGTGTAGTGTCACAAAACTCGCCAATGATTTGATTCAGTCTTTGTAGGAAAATGTCTGTGACATGTCTTGTTGTTATAGCTATGTAAAAGTAACCATTTGTGATACTTTGTATAGCCTTTATTGTAATCATGAAGAAAATCAAGAATTTAGATTTTTTTCAGTACAGCATTTCTCTACAAATGCTAACTCTAGGGATGAAATCATGGTTTATATATATTTATTAAACTTGTGGTTGTGTTATTATAGATCTAAACTCGTCTCTGTATAAATGTGATTGTACAAACTAAATAACATGAGTAACAGTTTCTTTGTGCTAAGTATTTCTGACTATATTTTTGTATCATGTACATGGTGAACTTTGTACTTATGGTTGGTTGTTATAACAAAACTAAGGAATGATTTTACCAAGAATGTGATGTATGTATTGTGTGAGAAGTAAAGAAATCTGCATCAGTACTTGACTTTGAACTTAGCTTTTAGAATACAGTAGGCCTGAACAATGCCTTGTGATTTGTATAGAATGGAAAGTCCAAGGGTCTCTGGTTGGAGACCAGTGTTGCCAATTGATTGCCATACCTAGGGCCTGCAGTTCAAAATTAGGGATGGCTTTATACCTGAATCTCAGAGATCTTTAACCTGGCTAATTTAGCCCAGTGTTTGCATAAAGTGTTATTTATGTGAAGAAACAGAATCACAGCCTAAAAATAAAGCAATGATTTTCAGACCACATATTTCTAATTACACAGGTGTTGATATTGTGATATTGATAAATCAAAAGCCTAGATAAACAAAAAATTTGTATACAACAAAAGATAGTGCCTGAAAAATATCAAGAAACTATACAATTGTCTTTATCTTGTAAATGCATTATTCCATTATTTGGATTATTTAGTTAAAAAATTCATTAAAGTGCACATGGGAAATTTTGTTAAAAGTGAACATTTTGTGCCAATATAGCAGTTAGATACTTTATGATTTCGTTATTGTTAACAAGTAGTTTTAACTAAAATATTTTACGAGATTCATCAAAAACTTTTTCTAGTAATTATAGCAAATCTATATGTTATTAACTAATTACAATTTTTACGTTGTCAGAAATTAACCAAATGTCAAAAATATCGGATATGTTTAGTTTGTGCGGTGTGTGTATTTGGAATACGACAACACTGATGGTAATGTGGAGCGTGAAGAGTTCGGCTCTTTTTTTTTTTACTGGACATGTGACTTCATTACAGCTTGTCATTGAACGTTAGTAAGTTTACGGAATTATAAAACAAAAATTCGTAGTTCAATTCCCCGCGTTGGATTGAGCAGATTACCCACTGCGGCTTTGCGCTAAAACAAATAGCCATTGCGTTAAATACATGATATTTCTGATATTTATCAAATAGATTATTAATTAACTTTTTAATAAACTGAAACTAATATGGTAAAGAATTCAGGTTCTTATGTGATAATTATCCATTATAATATTTCTTGTTTAATGATCCAACGGCTTAACAACACCAATTGTATAGAAATGTGTACCAAATTTCAGTAGCCAAAGTTACTATTTTGCCGTGTTATAATAGGTTCGAAGTAAAAATTTCGTTTCCATAGAGCTCCTCCAACCTATTACTAATTTATTTTTCTTCGAATTTAAATTGCTTCAAACTTGTTGCAAGAGTTCTGGGGTCCTCGAGTAAATTAGGAACTGACTTACTGATTTCGCATGTTTCAGAATAAACAACGAAGTTGAGAAAGAACGTAAAATAAGTGAAAATATTCGTAAGATTACATGTGAGAGTTCTTAAATTAATTCAAACTAATGTTACGTACAAGACCACTATTGTACTGTGAGGGATCCTTTACAAATTTCGTCATGCTCACTTGTAGCTCGTTTACATGTTGCAGATTGAACTTTCAGAAAATACATCACATACTATTAAAAATGTTTTGATTCGAGAGGGTTGTGAGAAGGGGAAAATTTCAGACACATTCTGCCCCCGGAAGTTCCTCGTACAAATGCTAACAGCCCTGGTAACATCATCTTATAAGGAGATGTACTTACGCTGCGTAAGTACATCTCCCCTTCGTAACTAATTTTTTTAATAAGACAGTGTGTTATGGCTGCGACTCGCCACTACCCCAACTAGATTGAGGGCATTATTGATATATGTAACACAATCTTGGTGCTTGTTATTTTATCTTCTGTTAAATATTTAACTCGTTAAATTAAATGATATATATATATACTCTTATAAGCAAAAAAATTATTTTTTCTGCCATTAAATCTTTTAACATCCCTTGACATCTCATAACTAAGAATCGTTATTTTGTACTCGGTAAGTGTTTGCATTTCAATGTGCTTTAATGTCTTATTAGTAACACTTGCACTTTTGACGTGTTTTAATGTCTTTTTGTAAGAGTTATTCATTTTGAGGTGCTCTTTAATAATATTTTTATGGGATTTAATATCTTAGTAATGAACCAGAATTCCAGACGTGATGCCGTTGTACTTGCTCTGCACTTTAAATTATGACAGTCGTTATTCGGTTCAAAGGTCCAGACAGCTTCCTTCGACTGCGAAATTGTGCTCTCTGACTGCATTTTTCCTGAATTAGTAGTTCACAATGAGGGTCAGCTATCCCTAAATCATGGGGGCCTAGTACGCTGTTCAGTTTTAAAATTGAAATAACTTCTCAATAAGTTTGTTGTTTTTAAGTGCCTCAGTATCTTCTTTTTTATCGTACATTAATATATCCTTAATAAGGGTTTCACTCATATGAAAACTTTAATGACAGTTGCCCTCTTGAAAGCTTTCATATCTGTTTAAATAGTTGCACTCTTGAGAGCTATCGTGCCTGATCAGTAAGAGTCGCACTCATGACATCGTTCATGTTTGATCAGTAAGACTCACACTCTTGGGAGCTGTCGTGTCTGATCAATAAGAGTTTCACTCAAGGAAGTTATCGTATATGATCAGTAAGAGTAGTATTCTTGATAGATTTCATATCTTCTAGGTATTAAACACTGTGTGTCCCAAATGTATTATTTTTTGTAATAAGATTGCTCGTTTACCTGGGTTTACTATTTTAGAACAGAAGCTGCTGCATTTCCGTGTTTTTAAGTATTTTGACGTAATTTGCTAGCTAGTTCTAATAATATTGAGCCAAAGTGAAGCGTTTGTTAATTTATGTGAATGTGTTGCGGATGTTTATAATGATTTTGTATTGTCTTTACAGTGTATAAGAGATTCTAGTTGATTACTGACATTGCACGTGAAACACTTTATAAATTACCGAATTGAGAAATCTTTTCAGAAAATATTAAAAAAAAAAACATTATTCTTACCATACCGCAAAGAAGTAGTTACCACAAGCAATCAGGGCACTTCAGACTGGGCCTAACTAGTTTCCTTGTTGGAATCTCCAGTTACAATCTAGGAGATTGAATGACATTATTCTGAGATAGTTAGAGGGACGGGAAGGGGAACTGCAATTAGTTCTCGAGTTTCTTGTGTTTAATATACACATCTGGCATGGGTCCAAGCTGCATATCCTTGACCTTGTAATTTTGACCTCAGTACTACGTTGAACATGTATTTGTCTTTAGTTTTAAACGTGTAACCACCAAGCTAAAAACCAGCGTAGGCGATTTTCTTTTTAATTTTTATTTTATTTTTTCTGAATACGTGAACGCTAATAAAACTTCGAAGTGAGGAAGTCTTATAGACCGTTGAACTGTTAGCTACTAACTCATCAGTTTAGTCACAGTACTAGTTTCCTCTGATCACGTGCTCATAGGGACACACGCCTGCCTGCCTGTTCGTAACTATCGGGAAATGGAAGTTTAACTAAAGAAGATATCCTAAATAGCAGGCGTAGTTCTTATAGAATCTTAAGTACGTAAACTTTCTGTTGTGGCAACCAGATATTACGAGTTGTACAGTAATTTAAAGCGCACGAGGGGGCGGAAGACATTTCTGATATAAAGGGGAACAAGTGATGACGAGTCGTGACATAAATAAAGGATAAAAAGAGTAACAGTTTGAAAGCTCGTAGAAGAAACTTGAAATAGGATCAATACCATAGTTTTTTCACCCTCTACAATTCGGTAGTTTAAGAGAAATCTCTAAAAGTATAAATGATATTTCTCTCAGCATCATATTTTCGAAAAATTTTATATGGTTATTATATTGTTACGTCTCCGTTTGTTAATTAACTTTCCGTAACTTCGTTTCCGACGAAACTTTAGCGACACAAGTCCTCACTTAATAAAACTGGTTTATTCTTTCCGAATACAACTTTACGATACACTTATTTCAATATTCGCGCTAAAACAAACACTATAACGAACGTACGTTAACTTCAACAATACCCTGTGACTGCAGTTCAATTACTCACTATCTACACACACCTTACATTATTTTCCCGTCACGTTGTCACCCTCTT